GGTATTACATTTGTGAAAGAACATGCTGTTTCATGAAGTGAACATTCAGAAAACAAACGTGGGACTTTTGAAATCCAAGCACACTATCATAAATGTTTTTAAATTCAATAAGTAAAAAGAGGAAGAAATTAAAAATATGAAAGATGCATTTTATCTTTGCTCAGACTGTTGAAGAATGGTAGCTTGTTTCATGGTTTTTATATTTGTGTCTAATGTATGTTTTAACATGATAGGTGCAATGCATCATGTAGCTACAGTTTTCCGGAAAATTCAGTCTCTTAGGAATTGTTTTTCAGATCTTCAATACATTTTTTCTCTAATTAAAAAAAATAGAGGGGAGAAGGGTATAGCTCAATGATAGAGCTCGTGCTTAGCATATATATATATATAAAATTATTTATATATAAAATTACCTCCTTCCCCCAAAAAAGAATTTTAAAAAGTTACTAAATTAAAAAAACAATAGGAAAGAAAATGAATCAGAGGGTCAGTCCAGGAAGACCAACATCTGAATAATAGGAATGCCATAAAAAGGGGACCAAAAAAAATGGAGGGGGAAGAAATTCATCAAAGAAATAATTCAAAACATTTCCCAAAACTGAAAAATGAGAATTTCCATAAAGAAAGGAGCCACTAGGTGCCCAGCCCAATGGATAAAAATAGACCTGCATTAATATATATCATTGTTAAATTTCGTAATTCTGGGGACGAAGAGACAATCCTTCAAAAGTGGGTCAAGGAACTTTTTATAAAAGCTCCAGTCAGAAATATATTGAACTTCTTAAAATGAATTTCTGGAAGCTAGAAGATAATGCCCTCAGATATTTGAGATCCTCTGTTTGTGTTCTCCCAAGAGTGAACTGACAATCAGCTAAAGTTGGGAAAGGCAGTCATCTGACTGTTCAGTTGGGTAGGGGATCAGAGACCAATCCTCCTGCTTTCATTTCTGCCTTCTGAAGTTACTGCTGTCTCCAGTTCAGAGCCTTTTAAGGGTGTGGCAATGTAAGTTTTCCCTATTGCTAGGTAAGACTTCAGCTTTTTCAAGTCTGCCAAATGACCACTCATTTGCTTTCCAGCTTTCAAAACTTTATCTAGTGATTTCTCCCCTCTGCATCTCTTTTTCCCTCTTTGCAGGCAAAAAGGGAAAAAGAGCTAAATCCTTATCCTCTATATTGGGAGGTCAAATGATGACACCTAAAATGAACTTTCAAGAGATGGCATTATCCTGTTATTCAGACATATGGAAGTAAATATCATAAAGTTTATCTAAAATACAGTGGTTGGCTCCCAGGAACAGGAAATGATGTGGTACTGAGATAGCTGTGGAACAACTTGACTTTTCAAACTATATCATGCATGATTTAGATGAAAATTAAAACTTTAAAAGCAAGCAAAACTATATTGTACAGAACAGGGAATTATAGACTATTTTGTAATAACTTTTAATGGAGCATAATCTATAAAAATACCAAATCACTATGCTATATACTTGAAAATAATATAATATTGTAAATCAACTATACTTCAATAAAAAATATAATTTAAAAAATAAATAAAAAATTAAAGCAGGCAAAATCAATACATAAATAGTTTATGGATGCATAGCTTCATTTGCATATATAAAATATAAAAATAGGTTGGAAGGAAATCCACTAAGTTCATACTTGAACATTAAGTTCAGACAGAACACTAAGTACAGTTGTTTTTCTGTTGAGGAAAGGGAAAGTAGGAGGAAAAATGGGACAGCAGTATTGGTCAAAGGAGACTAGCTAAATCTGTTATACTTTATTCTATTTATTTTATTTTTTGGTGAGGGAGATAATTAAGTTTATTTATTTTAATTAGTTTTTTTAATGGAGGTACTGGGACTTGAACCCAGGACTTCATGCATGCTAAGCATATGCTCTACCACTTGAGTTACATACCCTCCCCCTGTTATATTTTATTTCTTTTTAAAAAGTAGGCTGGAAGCAAATATAAGATGATTTTTTTTTTCAGTTGGTACTTCTGAGCAGTGGGAATATGGGTGTTTATTAGGTGGTTCTTTGTGCTTTCCTATATCTTTTCAATTTCTTAGATTAAAAAAAAAAAGGCAGGCAGAGGAAGGCTTGGGGCAGTGGGCATACTACTTAAAAGAAGCTGGGACCAACAGAGGCAGGACTCACAACCTGGAAAGACGGACAACTGAGTTTGAGAATGGTAAGGGGGAGCCCAACGGAGCAGCAGAGGGCAGAGCCTGCTGGAGGGGTGAAAGCAAGGAGGGCAGCAGCACTGCCACAGGAGGTCCCCTAAACCAAGCTTCTCTTGGACCCTGAGAATTTTCTTCCAGAGATCCAACTCAGGAGTTTTGGTAGGAAACTGGACACTATTGCTCAGTCTTGAGAACTGGTGCTCCTATAAAAATACTGCAATACACAATTGGTTGTGGGAGTGTCCATCGTCTTGGACTTCCAACTGCTGCCTGGCTGCATTCATGAAAGGTGGGCTCACAGTGCCCTCTAGTGGTCAGAGTCTGTCAGCCTTCACAACCAGAAACAGTATTTCTCAGCTTTTTAAAGCCCAGGATAAACTCCCTCAACACCTCATTCCTCATTCTTTACATAAGTAATACTTCTAAAGAAAGAAGAGATGGAGGGAATGTCCATGGATATAAAGTCAAGAAAGAAAATCATTAACATTTCCTCTTAGTTCAGAAAAAATCATTAGACAACGCTGATCCTTTTTATTGTTTTGCATACTGCTATTGATAAAGGTTTAAAAACAGCTGTACTACTGAAGACATACAGATGGCCAACAGGCACATGAAAAGATGCTCAACATCGCTAATTATTAGAGAAATGCAAATCAAAACTACAATGAGGTACTACCTCACACCAGTCAGAATGGCCATCATCAAAGTCTATAAATAATAATGCTGGAGAGGGTATGGAGAAAAGGGAACCCTCCTACTTTGTTGGTGGGAATGTAAACTGGTGCAGCCACTAGGGAGAACAGTATGGAGTTTCCTTAAAAAACTAAAGTGATCCATATGATCCAAAACCATATGATCCAGCAATCCCACTCATGGGCATATATCCAGAAAAGATGAAAAGTCTAATTTGAAAAAACACATGCACCCCAAGGTTCACAGCAGCACTGTTTACAATAGCCAAGACATGGGAGCAACCTAAATGTCCATCAACAGATTAATGGATAAAGAACCGTATATGTTAAATATATACAGTGGAATATTACTCAGCCATAAAAAAGAATGAAATAATGCCAATTGCAGCAACATGGATGGGCCTAGAGATTATCATACTAGGTGAAGTAAGTCAGACAAAGAAAGGCAAATATCATATGATATCACTTATATGTGCAATCTTAAAAAAAGGTACAAATGAACTTATTTACAAAACAGAAATAGACTCACAAACATAGAAAACAAACTTACAGTTAACAATAGGGAAAGGGGGGGAGGGATAAATTAGGAGTTTGATATTAACAAATACACACTACTATATACAAAATAGATAAACAACAAGGACCTATTGTATAGCACAAGGAACTATATTCAGTATCTTATAATAACCTCTAATGGAAAATAATCTGAAAAAATGCTTCAGATATATAGATACAGATTTAGACTATAGACTATATATCTATATATCTGAATCACTTTTTTGTACACCAGAAATTAACACAACACTGCAAATTAACTGTACTTCAATTAAAAAAAAAATAGCTCTACTATGGTTGAGAAGAGCAGTGGTGGCAAGAATGAGCAAGGTGGGCAAGCACAAGGGGATACAAGGTGGCCAGAGGGAACACAGCATGGGAAAACTGGGTAGGGTAAAAAATTGAAGGTCAGAACTGACAGTGGAAAGAGTCTGGACTGAAGTCAGGAAGACCCTGAACCCAGTGTCTGTCACTTACTAGCTATGAGGTTGTGGGCAAGTATTTTGCATCACTGAGTTTGTTGCTACAAAAACAAAAACAAAACAAAAACAAAAACTAGCTCCTCTGATCCTTCTGAATTCATTAAGCAGCAGTAGAGTGTGGTGGCCAAGAGCCACGTGACTCTGGAGCCAGATGGCCCTGATGGAATCCCAGTGTTAACACTTATTCTGTGGCCTCGGGCAAACTATTGAAACTTTCTGTGTTTCAATATTTTGGGGGTGTTAACAGTGCCTCATAGGTCTGTTCTGAGAGTCAACAGGTTAATGCATGTGAAGTGCTTGGAAGGGAGCCTAGCAAGCACTGAATAAGAGTTAGCTATTATTATTATTATTATTTTTGTGCACATGGAAATTACCTAGAACACGATCAGTGTTAGTCTCATTTCCTCTTCCCCTGGAATTTGGCTCTGGGCAGATTGCTTGTGTCTCCATCACTTGTGCTATATCCCCAAACAAGTATGGCTAATACTCCACAATACCCAACTACCCCAAGTGGTCTGTGAGTACCACCCCCTTTCCTCCGTGGATCTCCTTTCCACATGGTCCTGTGTCCTTGCAGCCCAGCTCCCAGTCTTTTACTGACATCTTTTTGGAGGAAGTAGGGCTAATAGGCTTTGCTCAGGGAAGCCTGAATTCCTTTGACTGCCCAGAGGAGAAAGCTATGAATCAGAATGCACCTGATCCCACGGACATCCCTTGTAAAGCGACAGGTCCCCAGAGTGGGGGCCCAGGATTGCCATGAGGAGCCATGCCCATCTACACTCTCCAGTAGGGGGACACTTACTTCCAATCATCACTCCAGGGACAAGCCGCATGTTCTTGCTCACTTATGATCAGTGCACAGTGAGGCAGCTGTGGCTGAAGTCCATATATAGAGCCAACTGGCCAGGAAGGATGGCCAGCACATTAAGCTGATTCAGCCTGACATCTGTCAGTCCTGACCTCATTAGCACCAAGCTCTTGGCCTTTCAGAATAGCCTGAGGAGGAAGTGGAAGACAAACAAGATCAAGACCGGTAAACAGGTCAAGACGGGGGGCCTATGGAAAGAAGCACACCAAGAGTTTATACAAAAACCTTTTATTTACTGTTTACACTTCGTCTCCCTATCACTACCCCCGATCTGGAACCTAGCCAGCTTCTAAGGCTTCCTGCTGTCTGGTTCTTGAAATTGGGGCCTTGGGGACTTGAACGGGGGTTATGAGAGGTGAGAATCTCTTCACCCACTGGTTGTGGAAGTTGAAGGAAGCTTTCCTGCCTGGCTGAAGCATCAGCAGCTTCCCAGGGGAGCCCCTCAAGTCCGAGGACCCATCCCCCACTGGACAGATACAGGAAGAGATAACCTGTGTCTCCCAGAGGCTCCCCATCACTCACTGCTTCTATACCATGCCAGGCTCTATAGCTGAACCAATCTTTTACCTGGAGATGGAGCCCAGAAGCAAAGGGGTGGGGTGTGGGGATGGGATAGAAAAACTGCAATTCTGGGTCTTAATCAACAAACAGGAAAGAGGAAGAGGTTGGCCTGGTTGAACTGAAATGGGAAAGGGGAAGGAGGGTGGCAGGAAAACACAGGGTGCGTTACTGGCCTGGGGTGGAGCCAGATGGACACTGTGGAGAGGTGATAGTCCCTGTGGGAATAGGCACTCCCAGCCCCACAATCACTTGGAAGAGGGAGAAAGGAGCCCTGTCCCCACTTAGCCAAAGGGCTAATGACACAATAAACACTTTTGGTCTGAGAGCCAGGGAAAGGCAACCATTGACATAGACAAAGGCAGCCAGCCCTCATCTGCCAGACATGGGCTTGGCTGCCTCCCTGGCCACAACAGCCCAAGCGAAGTACTGTCACCTCTGCCTCCACCTTTACTGCCCCACAAGCTCCACACACCCCACCACCCTGTGGGAGACTGATGCTCCCAGCCAGACTCCAGTTGGTGGGGAAGAAACAAGGACCCTGAGCTCCAGGGCCCTGCCCCGGGGTGAGGCCTGTCCATGGAGATGTCAGGGCTCTTTCCCACAGTCCTGCTGCTGTGAGCCAGACAAATCGAACTCTCCTGGGAGGGCACTGGGCCCTCAGCTTCTCTGGAAGATGAGACCCTGGGGAAGCAATCTCGGAGGAAGAAGAGCCTTGGAAAGGTATCTGTTCCTCTTTCTCATCCGAGGTCCCGCACTCCAGGCTCAGAAGTCCGAGTCTGCATCCATGAGTTCTGCCTCCATCAGGTTGGTGCGGGAGTGAATGGGCCCCAGCCCCTGCCTTCGGCCCTGCGCCCAGGCCATGGGGGCTGGGGCGCTGGGCTCTGGGCAGAAGGGGTTGGAGACCAGGGTCCAGGCTGCCTGTCGACAGGATTCCCCAGCTCCCCAGGCGCCTGCGGCCACTAGGCACTTCTGCCGGGGCAGCTGGGGCAGTCGAGGGACACTGGAGGCTGGGGCGGGGCCGGGGGCGGGGTGGCGGAGCTCAGGGGGCGGCACCAGCGGGCACACCTCCTTCTTCCTCTTCCTCCGCTTCTTCTTCCGACCCAGGCGCTTCTCCAGCTCCGGGGAGATCTCTGCCTCAACCAGCCACAGGTTGGCTTTTTCCTCTGGGGGCACTAATGGTGGAAAAGAGAACGTGAGCCTGGGACCCTGGATCTGTCTACATCACCCCTTGTCTACTCGCACCCCTACTCTTTTAGCTCAGAAACCCAGACTTCAGATCCTCCAGGGCCTTTCCCTCACCCTCCCCTGCTGGCAGCCCAGGAACTGCTAGTCCCAGGAACCTCCAGCCTCTACGACTCCCACCTTTCTACAGAAGCCTGAACCCCATACCTGGAGTTGCCACGGGGGTGACAGACACATCCTGGGGCAGTATGGCTCCTCTCCGGGCCACCATCTTGGTGACATGCTGGGCCCAGGCAGAGGACACATCCGCCGAGGGCTCATTGAGGTCAAAGGCCAAACCCGCTGTGGGGACAGAAGGATAAGGAATCGTGACTGCCCAGTCCCTCGCCATGACGGCTCCTCCCTTATTCAGCACCATCTCCCTTCCCCCGGCCGATGGCTCCCACTCAGCACGGAAAGCCCGCCCCGGTGGTGATCACAGTGGATCTCTACGCATCCCCAGTCTGAAGAGAGGGGCCTCACAAGAAGCCAGAAATGCAGTCCCTGGAATCTGACTTCCTCTAGTCCAGGGAGAACAGCTGGAGAAGACAGCTGAAGGCGAGGGAGATGAGTCCTTTGGAACCACAGCTCCAGCAGAGCAGGAACACAGGGCAGAATGGCTGGGGGCGGGGTGAGGGTGGGGGAACTGGAGGAGAACGAGTGTGTGAGCAGAGGAGGGAGCGCCGATTCTGCACGGACTGCCAAAGAATCCGGGAGGCCACACCAGCCTGGGATGGAACAGGGAAGGGGCTCCAGAGGAGCAGAGGGGCAGAAGCTCACCCACAGGTCCGTCGTGGGAGACGGTGTGCATGCTGAAGGAGAGCTCCTGGCCTGGGTTCTGCAGCAGCTCGCGCCGCTTGGAGAAGGCCTTGGCGATCATCTTGCTCTTCTTGATCCGTTTGGGCTCGTCATCACTCTGCCCCGTCAACCTGAGGGTAGAAAGGGTGGGGGAGGGGCGTGGAGGGGCAGCTGCTTCCCCTTAAATCTTGCAAAACACCAGTGAATCCGTTCCGTCCAGGGAAGGAGCCTCCAGAGGGCCTCAAGACCCTCAAGAACCCTGAGGAGCAGAGAACTTCTCCGCAAAAAAGGGGGCCTAGAATGCAGGGCTCCTGTGCCCAGTTTTCAAATCACTCCTCTTTAGAAGATGCTGGCAGCGGGCTCAGCCCTTGGCCCATCCTCCCAAGGACAGGAGTTGTCACCAGGGGGCAGTGGTGAGCCATAGAAAAGGCCACTTTTGGCAGCCCAGTGCAGGCCCTTAGAAATCACACCTGCCCAAGGCTGGGCTGGGACATGTGTGACCAGACAAAAGCCTAAAGGATGTCGAGGCTGAGAGAGCAAGGCAGCAAAGTCAGGACAGGCTGCTGCTGACCCCACCTGCACCAGGTGCGCCTCCAGATGAGCAGCGTGGCCTTGGTCCAGACCCAGGTGCTCATGGCAATGCCGGTTCCGAACATGGCAAATAGGTTGATCTTCTCCACCAGAAGGCTAGGGCGATTCTTGATCTCACAGTCGGGGATGGGCTTCTTGGTGGGTAGCCCGATGGTCACATTGGCCTGGCATCTGAGGTGAGGGGTAGTGGACAGGTGAGGCTTCCTGGGTCTCCTGGGTGGCTGCCCAATCAATCCAAACACTTTAAAGAGAACGAAGCCCCACAGCACCGGCTTACAGTCCTTGGTGACCATCAGAGTCACCTGGGGGCTTTTACTGATGCCTGATCTCTGGGCCACTCACTAGAAAATTCAATCAAATCTCTGGGGGAGGGACCCAGGCATCCGTGTGGTTTAAAGCTTCCCACATTGGAAGCAGGAGACCTTAAGTAAGACTGAAGCAGGGTTTTAATGAGCATTTTAACCGCTATTCCTGGTACTGGTAGGTGCTGCACTTCTTTGAGCAGCTGAGATGCTTCACTCTCTCAGATTCATCCTCATTGTGACATAAAAAAGTACAGGCAAAACCAGAAAACATTAGTGGGTTGTTCACCTATCGTAGAGAGGTAACTACTTCTGTGCAGGGATTGCAATGAGCTCAGTAAAGAGTACATGAGAAGTAGAAAGCAACTTTTGTGGCCAACACAGAGTTGGGAGAGTCCAAAACACAGTGGCGTTACAAACGCACCAGTGATCCAGCCTTGGGGGTGCAGAGGGAAGGGCAGAGTTAGGGACCTGAGGGCTGTTTGCCATGTTTGCAAGTTACAGAGCAACAGCTTGAGCACCCACAGCAAGACATGCAGTTCTCAGGACAGCAGAGGAGGGTCGTCTCCAGCTCCCACCACTGCTGCCCCTCCCAGCCCCCAGCCCCCCACTCACAGCACATAGTCCCGGAAGCTGCGCTCCCACTCGGCCTGGTTGAAGAAGTCGTAGAAGTGGCAGCTGAAGGTGATGAGCACAAAGCCAAAGGCCAGGAAACCAAAAATGCCTGCAGAGGGATGGGAGTGGGGACAGGGCGTCACCAATCCCAGGTGTGGAAGCAGTAGTGGGGAGGAGGGTGTCTGCTCCACTTGGGCCTGATGGATATCTTAGACTGGGATGAATTCATGCTGGGCTCAGTTCCAGAACTGTATCCTCCAAAATAAGACAAGGAGGCAACTGTGGCAACTCTGGGAGGGCCCAGTGGGAGGAAAGTGGCCATGAGGAAGCAGCCTTGGCATGAACTTGACATCTGTCACCTGAGAAGGACACCTTTTCTTTTGAGTTGCAACCACCACCACCTAGACACACACACACACATACAGCCTTGTCTTGCCTCCCTGCCTGCTAACTTGCCCCCCACGATCACTTATTGCAGTCCAGGAGGATGTGGTGTTGGGCTAGCCCACTCACCCAGGCGCAGCATCGTCTCATTGATCTTGCTAGCTGCCTTCTCACTCAGCAGCCCGGGGTGGTTGCTCTTGATGGAGAACAGGGTCATGACTCCTGAACAGAAGGGAGATGGCAGACATTAGCTGGGGCCAGGCCACTCTCCTGGGAGGGATGGGTGTGTGGCAAGAGAGGGTCCCAGGTCTGACGACTCCTGTGCTGATGCTGATTTAAAGCTTGGGGAACTGGAGATACTGGAGTACACCTGGTGGCAGATGTGCCATGGACTGGAAAGACTGGCACAGAGCACAGACAGAAAATCGAAATGGGCTCAGTCCTAGTCTGGCCTCCTCAAGTAAGGTAGCTCAAAGCTCAAGGTCAAAGCTATTATGGTGGAAAAGGCATAAGAAGAGATTCCAGGACAGTGCTGTACAAGAGAAATACAAAGTAAGCCACATTCATAATCTCAAATTTTCTAGAAGCTGCCTTAAAAAAGAAAAAGGACACAAATGAAACAAACTTCAATATATTTTATAAACAATGTATCATTGTTTATGACATGATCATTGCAGCATGTAATCCGTATCCAAATTGTTAAGGAGACAGTTTCCTTTCGTGTGTGCTAAGTCTTTGAAGTGCCGTGTGTATTTTATACTTATGATATGTCTCAATCTGGACTAGTTTCAACACACGTGGCCAGTGGCTACCGTACCGGACAGCGCAGATACAAAACATAAATCAGAGGCCCTGCCAGTGCCAAAAAGAGGGAAAAGAGGTGGGCTGAACAGAAGGCTGACAGTGCTGGGGGAGGAAACTGAAGTTTACAAAGAAAACTAAGCAAAAATGAGCTCAGATCTGGAGGCTGAATGTGGAGGTGGCAGACTGAGACGGGGAAATGAGGGAACAGAGAATCTGTGCATGTTGTGAAAACTCTGTCTGTGCGTGTGTGCATGCTGTAGGCAGAAAGGAGATGAGAAACCAAGCTCCGAAGACTGAGCATATGTATATATAAATTCAGGGCACACACACATGACCAAAGGCCACCAGTTGGCCCATGTGGACAGGGTTGGTTACGAGGATGTTGACCACACAAGGGCATCTGGCTAGGGCTGAGCAGAGGCTGGAATCCAGCCCAAGTTCCACTCAACAAGCCGTGAGCCCTGGCACAAGGCTGGAGTAAGGGGAGCACTTTTCTGGCCTGCACAAAGGTGCTACCCCACACCGAGTGCCATGATGCTGTGTCTGCCCACGGGCACTTCCCGCTTTGCACCAAAGCCCCATGTAAGCCAGCTGAGGGCCCACTGCGAAGGCAGCGCCTGCTTATACAGAGCAAGTACTCAACACATTTTGCTGCCCAACTGGTCCTGGCCTGGTCCTCACTCACCTCGGATGAGGAAGTAACCTCCCACGATGAGTACCAGACCAATTGGGGCCAGCACAAAGCCAGCACGGTATCGGTAGTTCTTATAGCCCACAAAGCAGATGCCGCTCACAGAGTCCCCATCCACCTGCAGCAGGAAAATGTGGGAAGGACAGAGTCAGTCACTGGCCCTCTCACCCAAGCACACCCCCTCAGGTCACCACCCACTACCAGTCACTATACCTGGGCCACAGCGAGGATTGCCACTGTGAGGACAAAAGGGAGTGACCATGTGAGCAGATGGAAGTACGAGGTCTTGCCTGAGAGAGGCTGGTAGGTGGTACCCAGGGCTTTGAAGGACGTGTGCCAGGCGTAGGTGAGGACCACAAACCAGACAACGCCAGCCATCAGGGCATAGTACACAATGACAAAGATGATGACGCAGGACAGGGTCTCGTTGGAGCTGTGCAGACATGTGGGGTGTCACTTGGGGTGGTCATTCTGTACTTCCTCTACCAAGTCTTCCCAACCCTGTCCCCAGACCCTTGGCTTCTAAAGTCTGGAGATGCCTCAGGAGTCAGGGCTTGGAGACCAGACTTGGGTTAGGAGTGAAGAGGGTATAGCAGATGCCTCTTTGGACAGAGGCAAAGAGTCAAGGCTCTAATGCTGGAGACCTTGGGTGCAGCAGGGCACAGCCGAAACCTACGCTGAAATCTCAGTTTCAAGTCCAAACTTTGTGGAAAACGCGTGCCGGCCTCCTCCTCTCCCTCACCCCTGGGTCCCCAAGTCACGTACGTGGGCTCCCCGAGCCTCATGGTGCCGTCAGCACGGCAGACAATCTCCCGGCGGGCACCATCCATAAACTGGGCCAGCCAGCCAATGCTGCCCACGAAGAAACACGCATTGACGTAGAACAGAATAACAGCAGGGTAGCGATTCGAATTCCGCCAGTCAGCCACAAATGTGGCCTGGAAGACAGAAGTGGGGCCCGTTCTGTGAGGTTACGGTTATTGTGCTGCCCTCATCTGAATCCTCAACCCCTTTTATCATGACCCTTCCCCAGGGACTGCTGCCCAGTCCTCTCCCCACTCCCAGAACCTAGCCTCTCTCACTGATGATCGGCCCCCTTTCTACTTTACAGGCTGGCTGAGGGTCCCAGGCCCTGCCACTCCCCTGACTCCTCCACCCTCCATCCACGGGCCTGCCCTCCGCTGACCAGGGTGAAGAGTGTGCAGAGGCCGGTGACAGCACCGAAGGCCGCGATGTAGCTGTGCATGTCCTGGTGCTCGGCCTCGGTGAAGAGCGGGTTCTGGCACTGGATCCCACAGCCCTCCACATCCTCGTACCAGCTCTTGGGGTTGTCAGTCCGAACCAAGGGAGCCTCGCATTGGCCCGAACTGTTGAACTTTATGTTCTGCACTTCGTTCTGGCAATGAGGGAAGGGGTGAAGACAGTGCAAAGGGGAGCAGTAGGCTGGGGAGGACCTTTGGTTTAATGAGAGGCACAGGGGTAGCATGGCAGGGAGTCTGAGAGCACAGGCCCTGCAGACAACCTTCCAGGATTTGAATCCCAGCCTGGCCACTCAGGGGCTCAGTAGCCTGGGCAAATTATTTGACCCCTCTCTTAGCTCAGTTTCCTCATCTAAAGATAGTACCTACTTCATGGTGTGGTTTAAGGGTTAGATGAATAAACAGATATAAGATGTTTATAATAGCATTTAGAAGGTAGTAAATAGGAGGGAGAGTACAGTTTAGTGGTGAGAGTGCACACCTAGCATGCAAGAGGCCCTGGGTTCAATCCCCAGTACCTCCATTTAAATAAAAAAATACCTCCCCTCAATAAAAAATAAATAAAAAGATTTTTTAAAAGGTAGTAAATAATAATAAATAGCATTATCACCATCATCATTACTGTTAATATTATTAATGCACTTTCCTTCACCACCCAGAACTAGATCACATCCCTACCTTGGTGTCTCTGTTTTACATGTGCAAGCCTTGACTCCCCACATACACGATAAACTTCTTGAGGATAGGCTCCTGTCACCCATGACTCCAGTAACTTCCCAACCCCAGAACAGAGGGGGTGCACAAAGATCTTTCCTAAATAGATAGACAATCCCTGGTAGATTGGCCCAGCCGGCGAGCGTCAGTTTGGGTCTGTGGGGTGCAGACCCAGGATCTCCCAGGAGAGAAGGCTCTGGACTGCCCTGCCCTGCCTCCTGCTGGGCCTTGTCCTGTGCCTGGTCCTGCCAGGCCAGACCCTGCCTCCCAGAGCACTCACCGGGCAGCCCTCGGGGAAGTGGTCGGGGGTGCAGCGCAGGAAGTCGGGCCAGCCCCGCTCCCTCTCCACGATGGCACAGGGACCGCGGGTAGCCTGGCAGAGGGTGCGGCTGGGCAGCTCCACCCGGTCGTTCTCGCACTTGGGCATGTACACAGCACACAGCAGGGGCTGGATCACTGCCCAGCAGCGGGGGGCGTTCCGGAGGCCTGGGGGTAGCGACAATGTGGACACATTGCAGCAAAGACCCCTCCTCACGCTGACCCACAGACACAGCTGCACCTCTGTTCTTCAGGCCTAAGGCAGCAGCTCTCTTTGCCACTCTGCAGGCCATGACAGCGCAGAACGGTCAGGCACAGCGTTTCTTAGCAGGGCATTTGGGCGGGACCATTCTTTGCTGCAGGACATTTAGCTTCCCTAGACCCTGACCACTAAATGCCAACAGAACCTCAAAGTCCCTGTGACACCAAAGAATGCTCCCCCACCCCTCCCACTCCATTGGAAGAGGCCTGAAGAGGAACTTCTGGGACGCTGGTGACGTATTTCTTGATCTGGTACTGGTTACACGGGTATATTTGCCTTGTGAAAATCAAGCTTATGATCTGTGCACTTCTCTGTATGTATATTACAACTCAATTAAAGTATTTTTAAAAAACAGCCCCCATTTCCAAATGCCCTCCTAGGGAATGTTAACACCTCTGGCTGAGAACCCCAGGTCGATTTAACTTTTACCTTTTACCTTTTTAAGGGTATTCTTAAAACCTTCTACAGCCATGGGGAAGGAGTGTTGTGGGACCCACCCTCACAGGGCCCGTGCACCAGAACCAGGAAATGCTTCCCCCTGCCCAGACCCCAGGACCCCTGTTCCTCTTACCAAGCTGAGGTGAGATAGAGAACAGGTGGGAGCTTAAGAGGAGGTAGTCAGGGAAGCCACTCCAAAGCCAGAGGAGGAAACAGGAAATCAGGTGGAGAGAAATAGAGGAGGCTGTGTTCAGTGCAGGGGGAGGAAAGGTGTTGTCAGCAAGACAGAAACAGGTGGAGGTCTCCCAGCACCCTTGCCCCAGCCCAGGCCTCTACCCTGCTCCCCCATGGCTGGGCTCACTCAGCAGTCCACCCACTCTGCCCCTCCCACATCATCCCTGCTTTAGAAACACCTACTTCCCAAACAAGACATTGTACTAGAAGAAGCTTCTGAGGATGTGAGAGCCAACGTAGGTGCTGCCCGGGCTGGGGGTGATGGGGGCAGGTAACTGCTCTTTTTGGGAGGGAGGCAATATACTAGAGGGTTAAGGAACACAGACACTGTAGTCTGCCTGGGTCCAAATCTTGGCTCTACCATTTCCTGGCTGTGTAATCCTGGGCTATCTCCATGGCTATTTCTAGCTCAGTCTCCTCTCTCCTTATCTGTAAAATGGGGATAACAGAATTACCTCGTGGAACTGTGGTACAGAGTAAGACAACGTGTTAAACGTGCTTATAGCACAGTTCCTGTCATACAGTAAGCACTCAAGAAATAATTAGCTGTTACTATTACTTATCTGAGGCCTCTGACCACTCACAGCTCTCACTGGACAAAGCCTATTCCAAGGGTGCAAAGCAAGCTCTTGTCACTTAAGAAACACTGTCCTTGGGCAACAGTTCCCAGATCTGACTCAAATCAGAATCACCTGGAGGACCCTTATTACTCTAGATGGAGAACTCGCTCTCAGAAATTCTGACCAAGAGGGTGTGGGTGGAGAACACAGCAGTGGTTGCCAGGGCTGGAATAGGAGGGGGGTTTACCAAGGGGCAGCATGAGGGGAACATTGGGATGTTCTCTATTTTGAATGTCATGGCTGGATCCACAACCCTATGTGTTTGTCTAAACTCACAGAACTGTGACAACAAAGAAAAAGTAAATTCCACTGGATATTTATTAAACAATACATTTTAAATGGGGAGGGGATCCCTAGAGAAAATGTATCTTAGAGGAGCAACAGGAAGATGATTAATGAAAATATTGTGGAATATGGGATGGCTTTAGTGACTTGTGGTATTCTCAGACCCTCAAGCCCAGATAATAATATTAAGCCATTCAGCTTTTGCGTGGGTCTCCTGGAATACTTGTTCTTGGAGCCCAGCTGCCGTGTAACAGGACCAACCTGAGGTTGTCCTGCTGGAGATGCCCTGGGAAAAGAAGAAAGAGGACGAGATGCTGGGTTTTTCAAGTCCCTAGCTTTCCCAGTTTCCCAGTGAAGGCCACAGATAACAGGGAACAGAAATAAGCCCTCCCTGCTGAGTGCTGCCCAGGATGCAGATTCATGAGCCGAAGGAATGGTTCTTGTTTTAAGCCACCAAATTCTGGAGCAGTTTGTAATATAGCAATAAATAACCAGAACACACACACACACACACACACACACACAATATTGTGTTATTTTCCTGGACTTTGTGATATTTGTGATAATTATCAGCTTTTAAAAATGTGTAATTTGTTTCTTTTTTTCTCATTTTAAATATTATTTTGTACCTTAAAAATAAACACCCCAAGGAAATGATAGATTATTAGATAAATCCAAGATAATTGCGGAATCATGTAGGGGAAAAAAGTTAGTTCCTTACCCCATTTCTTACAAAAAAATAAATTCCAGACGAATCAAAAATAACTACATTATCTTAAAAAATCAGAGTACTAGAAGAAAAAGCGGAAAATGTTCTTTTAAATCTTAGAGTGGAGGTCTTTTGAAGTATGACACAAAACACAGAAGTTATGAAATAAAAGATTTAAAGAAAAGACTTCAGAAAAATGGATAAAGTCAGTAGGGTTAAAAAACAAGATCATAAGAAAGGCAACACACTGAGAAAATTATTTGCAACACATGTCACAGGTAAAGAATTAATTTCATTATATGCATAAAGCTCTTCCAAATTAGTAAGAAATTCATAATTCTTTAGAAAAATGGGCAAAAGACAAACAACAGATCATACAGAGAAAATACAGCTGGCCTTTAAAAAGCATAAAGAGATGCTCAGTCTCTCTCTTAATAAATGTGAAGTAAAACTACAATGACATATAATTTCTTAAACTTTACAGTGATAAAGATCAAAACATTTGAAAATGCTATATTGGTAAGAGTCTGGGGGAAACTGGCACTTTTGTATAATTTTAGTCGGAATAAAAATGTGTAAACACTTGTGGAGACTATTTGACATTAGCTATCAAATGTCCTAGCAATTCCCCTTCACATGTTCACAAAGATTGTACATAAGATTATTCATTGCAGTATTGTTTGGAATAGCAAAAGAGTAGAACTATCCTTAATGTATATCCATCAATAGGAGACCTACTAAATAAAATATCACACATCAATATAACAGAACACTGTCTAGGGTTGAACTGTTTGCATTGAAAATGGAACAATCTCCAATATGTCTTGTAAATGGGTGCAGTTGCGTGAACAGCCCAGAGAGCTACTACTGGTTATGAGAGGAAAAAAGACTAAGGACACACCTATGTTGTACATACATTGGATATCTACACAAAGACACACAAAAACCAGTGTTGCTGGCTGTCTGTGGGAAGGGGAAACAGGTAGCTGGAAGCAGAAGCTGAGGAATTTAACTTGTGTTCCTTTTTAATTTTATATTATGAGTATATATTGCCCATTTTTAAAGTAATTAAGTTAAAAAAATATGCAAATTATTGGGAGAGGGGAAGCTCCCCAGACAAGAGAAGGGAATGAAGCTGGAAATAAGAAGAAAGGGGACATCAACTTTGTCTGTTTTGTTTTATTTCTTTTACTCTAAGAAAATATGAAATCAGAAGGAAAAATAGGGACTCAGGTATTATATTAGTCTGTATTTTTCTATGTTTATAAACTTTTTAAATAACATTTGCCACAATTTAAACTTTAAAAAAGAAGTTCTGTTTGTGTGATTCTGATGATCAGTCAAGTTGAAGACCATCGTTCTAAGGTTGGTTTAGCATTAGAAAATTTCATCAATGCAATTTACCACATTAACACATTAAAGAAGAAAATCATATGATCATCTCAATAGATACAGAAGAAACAGTTGATGAAATTCAGCATCCATCAATGATAAAATAATAATTAGCAAATTAGGAGTGGAAGAAAACTTCCTTAATATGACAAAATATAACTAAAAGAAACCTACACCAAACATCATGTTTAATGGTGAAAGGTAGAAAAGCCTTCCCTTTAGAATGCAGAAAAAGTCAAGGATGAAGGATGCTGCCACTATTACCACTCCTATTTAATGATGTACTGGAGGTCATAATTACTGCAGTGAGGCAATAAAGATTATGGTATATGGCTTGAAAAGGGAGAAACAGAAGTCATTCACAAATGAGATGACTATTGTGTAGTATAAATTTAGCTAGTTTACTGGATTCAAAATCAATTAAATTTCTATACATAAGCAACAAACCAAATAAAATGTAAAGGCACCATTTATAACAGCACAAAAAATATCAAGTATCTAGGAATAAATCTAACAAATGATATTTAAGAACTCTGCAAAAAACTGTAAAAAAAATTGAGAAAACTGAAGATCTAAATAGACAAAGATACATAATGAAAGACAGAGATTCATAATGATTAGAAGACTCAATATTGTAAAGACATCATTTTTTTCAAATTAATCTATACACTCAGTGTAATTCCAATCACAACCACCAAAAATATTTTCACATTAAAATACAAACGGTCAAGAAGAGCCCAGACTGTCTATTAGATACTATCATACTATAAAGTAGAGGTTCTTAATAAATACAAAACAGAAACAGACTCATAGACATAGAATACAAACTTGTGGTTGCCAAGGGGGCGGGGTGGGAAGGG